TAATCGACATGTAAATTTTTGTATATGGACGGTGCTCCTTGCACCTTTCAAATACACATCTACACTTTTATTTTTTTTAAAACAAAAAATTCTACCATTCTAATGCTGGCTTTCTAGTGAATCTGAGCGGAGCTCCCTGAAAAGGGTCGTCTGAAAGTAACTTTTGTCTCTAGATGAGATAAGGGCTTCATCAACATCCAGCAGTGGTCGAGGCTGCAGGACCTATCAATAGAAGGTGGATCCTATGGACGTCTCCTTTGAGAACTCAAGGTTCAAAACTTCTTCCAAATAGAAAGCATGAATATCTGTCTACTGAGAATGAAGCATATTCCTTATATGATGTCTATAAATTCAACTCCCACTTTTACCTTGATAGATTTTAAAATATAAAGTTATGTTTTGTTAAATCAGTTAAAAATTTGGAAATAATCACTAACATGGTATTCAAAGGTTCTGTGTTTGAATCTTGGAAAGTTCCCTTTTCCTTGTATATCATTTCCGATCCTAACTATTGGTGGACCCATGCTCGGGAATTGCTAGCAAAACTCACTAGTTGAATATTGCTAGAACTGGAGCTGTTAAAGAGTTTAGAGTATAATACTGGTTCCGTTCCCAGACAGCTCAAACTTTTAGAAGATCAGTACCTCAGTTATTGATGCCAAGAGTAATACGATTTAGCATCATATTCGAGGGGCTTTTAACGGAAGGAACTGAGACATTGTGTTGTGATGCTGACAGGTGGGATTTGGGTGTTATCTGGTTTCTAGATTGTTAAGATAGTAGAATCCTAGAAATATTGATGACAAAAGAAGAGTTTAGTTTTCATTGGTATCTGGTGTAGTTTTAAAGTTGAGTAGATTGGTTTGAAGGTCGATTATGGAAGACTCTTCTTGAAGTTGCATGCTACACATGGACACATTACATGTCCAGGTACCATGGGTGAAACTTATATTGGGTTGACTGAGATCTATAAGAATCTATTGCCTATTCGTGATTTACTATTACAAGAAATCTTATGGTTATCTTGCCTTAGTGAACTGGTTAATGCTGGTAAATTCATGGTCTTAAGCTTTTGCCTACTGACGTGAACATTTTCTTGAAGTTAAATTGATTGGACAGTTGGCTCATTTTGCATTTTTATCTCAACACTTTGTGGCTTACTTAAAGTAGGGGAATATGACTATCTTTACAAACTAGGTACGTTACAAGCATTGAAAAATCAGAGTACAATACAGTTAAATAATTGAATTTTAATATTTTTGGTGCATGATTCAAACAGGCTCATAGAGTTAACCTCTCTTGACTCTTGAGCTGGGGCACTAATTCAGGTTTGACTCTTTTGATTTATCTACCAAAATCCTCAACCTGAGGACTTAACACAACTTAGGAGGATAAATTTGTAGAAGAGACTTGGGCTCAGGGATATCATGGATTCTATCCCCATGACCCTATTTTAATTTTTCCATGAGCAAACAAACAGAAAAACCAAAAGGAGAGGGTAATTTGTTGTATTGTTTTGGCATATGATTATTTGATATGTAATTAATGTAATTCATTTACTCATCTAAATGCGAGCTTCATTATGATAATACGAAACTATAGATGCAAATGTAAAGAGACTAAGTTATCCATAATTAGTGAATGGATAGAATAACATCTCTTTCAACTTTCCTTCCCCAAATCTTATGTGGGCAATTCGAAAAAGCAAGATGAGGAAGGAAGGGGGAACTTGTGATTTTAACTATGCATCTTACATTTTCTATTTGTGATCACTTGATTTGATCCGTATATCATTGAGGAAAAGCCAAATCTCCCAAATTTGTTGTGAAATAAATTGTGTTTTCAAGTTGTGTCCCACTTGCCAGATCTAGTCTTCCACCCTGACATCTAATGATGCCTTTTGTAGGCGATGACTGGTTATAGAAAACAGCAGGAGAAAAAGAAAAGTACAGCAGAGAAGAATGTCAGTTTGAGTGTTCTACAACAGTATTTTTCTGGTAGCCTCAAGGATGCTGCAAAAAGCATTGGTGGTAAGATCCATAACACAGGAGTTTAATGTCATATAGACAATTATTTTAACATATATGGGAGTTTCAAATATTTCTATTCTAACTCTTGACTTTCTTGGTTTTGCGGTAGTTTGTCCCACAACACTGAAAAGGATATGCAGGCAACATGGGATCTCTAGGTGGCCGTCTCGCAAGATTAACAAGGTGAATCGTTCGTTGAGGAAAATACAGACTGTGCTTGATTCTGTTCAGGGGGTGGAAGGAGGATTGAAGTTTGATCCAGCAACAGGGGGTTTTGTGCCAGCAGGATCTGTCATTCAAGACTTTGATGTACGAAAGAATCTTATATTCTCTGAAAAAAATTTGTCTGTGAGAAACCCTGAGACCATGAGCCAGGGAGCCTTTCTGGTACCTTCAGCCCCTTGCCCTGATGGTGAGAAATTTATAGTTAAATTGGAGGAAGATGAGTGCTCTATGGGGGGAAATCAAGTAGGCCCCGTACAGAGTATGCTCATTCCCAATACTTATAAGGGGGAAACAGAAAAGTCAGTGACCATGCCTGTGATAGATTGTAGCGAAGACTCCAAGTCAGTGGCTGTGAATGCACGCTCATTCGAAGGGTCTAACCTCGGCTCTCAGGCTTGGGCTTTCCAAGAAAATGTCTCGTCGGCCTCTTTTGTCACAAAAGAAGATAAAAATTGGGTTTGCCACTTCGTGTCTGAGAGCTCAAAGTCATTGGCTGCTGCAGATGATATGGATACCAGAATGGAAGCTGATGATGGAAATATTGAACATAACCAGCCTAGTTGTTCAAGTATGACAGATTCATCGAATGGCTCAGGTTCATTGGTGCATGCCAGTTCATCAAGTTATCTGAGCTTTGAGGAGGGGAAGCATTCAAAGGTCAAGGTAAACTGTGGAGAGAGCGGATCCAAAATCACTGTCAAAGCTAGTTATAGAGAGGACACAATTCGATTCAAGTTTGACCCTTGTGCAGGGTTTTTTCAACTGTACGAGGAAGTAGGGAAGAGGTTCAAATTGCAAAGTGGAACATTCCAGCTCAAGTACCTGGATGACGAGGAGGAGTGGGTGATGTTGGTAAATGACTCGGATTTACAAGAGTGTCTTGAGATACTGGATGATATCGGGAAACGCAGTGTGAAGTTCCTTGTTCGTGATTTGCCTTGTCCTATGGGCAGCTCAGGCAGCAGCAATTGCTTTCTGGGCACTGGCTCATAGTAGATGGATGTTACATTATCATTGGAGGACTCAAATCAGTCTACTTCCAAGACTAGTTTGTTGGGTCCGTCCTCGTGATTTCTACATGCTCCTCACAGGGGTGTAAAGTGGCGTAAGCTTTTTATGCATTTGCACCTGAGTACTTCCTCAAATTATGCAATTCCAGGAAAAAAAAAGGGAGACCTTGTACTGTTTTTAGAGCTACACAGCTACCACCATTTCGGTATGATGGGATGGTTAAAGAACACATCTTTATGTCCTGGCACAAGTTGATGTTGCAAGATTACGGAGGAAAGAAGGAAGATGATGTGAAACTATCAAAATACATATGTAGTCAATATGTTTGTATAGGTCTGTGTGTATATATATATATATATATATATAGTATAAGAGGCAGTAGAAATGCAAGCTTTTTATAGGTACTGAAGATTGAGGACTCTGCATTGACCTTAATCACAACCTGTATATCCATTTTATACGAGTCATTGTTAAAAGTAGAAAATTTCCTTGCTTGTAGATGTAATAATAGTTGCTGTTTTCCTGACTTGGCAGCTTGTATGAGAGTTACTGTGATGTGATATGTATGCATGGTTGCATTTGCATGTCTTGAATGGAGGCACTTTGGTGAATGATGATTTGTACTTGTATTAGAGGTCCTTTCCATTTTTTTTTTTTTTACTTAATTGTATTAGGGTTCTACAAGTAAATTTGATGTATGCATAATTTTCTATATATCAGCTGAGAGTAAATTTTTACTTTCTTAATTCACAAACATTTTGAGTCATTTCTTTTTTTAACTTTCAATAGTTTAAACAAAATCTTAAAACACAAAGTTGCAGGTTAGATTTTGAGAGTTCCTAGCTAGCTTGATTGTTTAAATCCAGTTCAGCTCCACCTGAGTTTAGCCTAGTCAATATAGTCAAAATTGGCCCAATAAGGTGGACTGGTCTGCTTGGTCCAGCCCGAACACGAGCATTATGGCACGAGCCCAAACCCAGTAACCCAGTTCGTCACAGACTGAGCCGCACCCTCCTTCAGAATTCCATTTCATTTGGGCCCAAACCCTTTTGACAATCAGAACAAGAATATAGGAAGAGAGTGATAATGTTCTGCATTGTCGACAATAGCAAGAAGCATTTTTGACATTCCAAAGTGAAAATCACAATTTGTACATTTCAAATTATATACTGAACCACATGGGTTGAATTAACTCTCGGGTGGTAAAATCATCCATCAAAGGAACTTAACAGAGAACACCAATTAGGACAGAAACCTTCAGATAATTTCTATCAACAGCTGTAATCAGACTGCAATCTGCATATAGCCCCCAGGTTGACCAAACAATCTGTATGCAGTAGCACGTTTGAAGAAGTAAAATGTTCAACAACTTCAACATGTCTTCTTGATTGAAACGCTTCATTCTCTGGAGTTTATGGCGCAAATACTTACTATTTTGTTAAAGAAAAAAGAGAAAATTTTTGGCAAAAATAGTAGCACTAGATCTCCACTGATGCCGCTGTACTTAGGTCCATCTGCTGTCTCAAGCTCCATCTTTGAAAATTCCGCATAACCATGACATAGATTAGAGATGAAATCAAATAAGAAATCTTTGGAAGAGCACAGAAAAAAAACAGAAAGATTCACAGCAGAAGAGAAATCAAATCAAATTAATACCTGTAGGAGAAGCAACAGACATTTGATTCACGCAAATTTGGTTCATAAATCAAAAGGCTGTTTGCAATAGAACCACCTGTTGCATTGGTAACCTTGGTCGATACAAGTCTCTGAATGTGGCAAAATCACTAGTAATCTTACCTACAAAGAGACAAAGACAAGGTAAACGACAGCGCAAGGCGGAGAATAAGCAGAAGAGTTCACATAACATATGGACTATGGAGGAAAAAGAACGAACACAAAAACATACACGGCATCATACCAATGAGAAACTTGATAACTAAATACAACATCATCTCCTATGCATGTACTTTCTATTGCACATCGGTGAGGAATCATCTTTGAACACATTGGTGTCGGGAAGAAAGATAATACCATGAATGCCAGCACACTTAAGAGGTGAGGAAGCATTTCTTGTTATCCTTCTTGTCAATCATCAATGCCTCAAAGAGGGCTATGATTCGCCCATCAACTCTTTCAATCTCTCAATTCCCCTGCAGTGACACATAAAAGTTACTAAGTCCACATCTTTTCATCTTTGGTTCAGCACATTTTATACAGAAAGAAGAATACCTTTTGGATAGGGAAGGCATTAGCTCTTCAATGACTCTGATAAATGACTTGCTCACATTCTCTTTAGAGAAAGTTGAGTTTTCTTCTTCAACTGTACCTAGGAATGGAAAACATACTTCTATTTTCAGCTTTTCTTTATTGTAGATGAAAGAATAAATGGGACTTGGAACACAGGTGAAAATATATTAAGAAATTTGGTAATTAATTGCGTTTACTGATTAGCCATTTTATTTTATGCGAAAAGAAGAACTGCAGAATCAATTGCTTGAGATTACCACTGATTTAGATAATTAGAACAATAAAACTTATGCCTGAGCCTGTTGAGTTTTCAGGGTTCAAATGTTCTACAAGCTGTTGAGGCTAACAAAAAAAAAAATAAAGAAAACCAAAAATCTTCTGGAAGGTAAATGCAGATTACATGTCAGGTACAATGGGAATGCTAGTATATAACTGCATCACTTCAACTTGAAAGCCAGGTTAGTGTTAAATTATACCAACAGAACAGAAAGAAAACTACAAGAACAACTAAGTGAAGGGTATCAAAAATCCACTAGAAGATAATTTTTTCCCTTATCACAAATATAATCATTTTTTTTTTTGGAAGTAAATGAATATAATATTGTGGCGTCACTTAATTCATGACTAATTTGAATAGATAAAAAAAAATTAAATGTTGAAAATAGAAATGCTATAAGAAAACATTATTGAAACATTGAAAGTTTATTGTGCATCTCTTATCCAAAAAGGAAAGAAAGAATATTTTAGACTCATCCAAAGATGGGTGGCAAAACCTGTACTAGCAAGATCTCTATCCAATTTAAATCCCAGATGAACCCTTAATAGGGATGCATCCTCATGAAGATTATCGTTTTCATCTAATTGCAAGTAGGTCTTATCAATAAATATTCTGCAGTATATATAACTTTTGGCAAAATAAAATGTAAAGAGAATATTTTGCCCCTCTTCTTTTACCTGGAGTATCTTCTTGGTTTACAAATTCACCTCCGAGATACAAGCTATCTTTCTGGTCTAAATCTAGGCCTTGTTCCTCCACAAATGTTTTCATTAAGCGACCGATAAGGTTATATGCGACCATGCTTGTCTCGTCACAAACTTCTTGGAAAAAGAGATATTGGTTTCTACTAGTTTGCTTACACGGATCGGATTCTTCTTTCATAGATGTGAAGTTTGAAGCAGGGGAAGTCAGTGAGCTCTTTCGATTTCCTCCATTCTTTTCTTCACCATCATCTTTCACGGATTTGACTTCATATTCTTCTGTATCCATATAATCTGTGCTATTAAGAATTCTCGATTTCTTAAATGCAGATGACCAACTGACACGATGAGGACCGGACTCGACTCTGTTGAACTGCTGGAGCAACCCTCCTTTAGTAGAAACCCCAGCTAACCTGGCACAGGGCGTTACATAAGAGGAAGAGCTTTTCTCCCCTATTGTGGAGAGAGGTATCTTGGAGTCAACTGGTAGTGACTCTGCAGTACTTTCTGCCTCATAATCAGAATCATAAGAACAAGAAACTTTCTGTTGATACTCTCCAATTCCTGATTGTTGACTGATGTTATCATCTTCATTATCATCACAACTATAATCACCATCATCAATGCTGCCACCATCATCGCTTTCTTCTAATTCCTCCATATATGCGTCACTGAAATCCTGATCATAATCATGGTCCGGAAGCCAATCCCAAATAATTTGCTTTGTATCAGCACTCACTCTCAATATGCATTCTATCTCTTCTTCAATTTCCTCTTTGGGGAAACATCTATATGATACGCTTCGGGAACTTCTGTTGACAATAGCAAGAACATCAAATAAAGATTTCGGGATGCTATCCATATCACTGCATTCAAAAAGATATTCGATCAACATTTTCTTAACTGCTGTTCTCAAACAACCATTTGATATATCAGCATCTGGGTCCAACAAAAGCTGTAAGGTCTTCAACTCCGAGAATCTGACCTTTGTTTTAAGCAACCAGATAGCCTTGACTATCTCATTCTGGAGCCTTTCTATTTCTGGTGAAAACTGGTAAAAATCCACTGCATTCCGACTTTGACATTGTTGACTTAATTTCAATGATATGCTTGCAATAGCCATTGCTTTGGCTAATGGCTCTGGTAGCTCCTCGCCCTCAGCAAGTTCGGAAAGCATCATTTCACTATGTTTCTTCACTTGATTGATCAAATAAGCTCGATTCCAGGAGCACTTACGGGACTGTAATTGAGGCACACTTTTGACACAACTTAGCTTCCTTCTCATAGCAATTAACGTCTGAGAAGGCAAGTCCTCCAGCTCATTCAATGCCTTAATGGCAGCAGCATGATGAGATTGAATCCTGGGAGTCAAATGGGTAGCAGCACCTTCTCGGAAATTCCGAGAGTCACTAAGAACTTGATGTAGCTGTCTGAAGATATCTTTTTGTTCACGGTTATGCCCTCTATTTCTAAACTCTTGAGAGAGGGAAACTTTAATTAACCTTTTCATTTTCTGACGAGATTTGTCAAAATTGACTGAGCCTGCTGTAAGTATGATTGCAATGAGGTAAAGCCCCTTATTAGTTAGCATATCAAGGCATGATTCCAGAACTTTCATCGTACTTGCCCTGCCAAACATTTCTTCACTGCCTTGAGCTACTTGAACTTCTCTTTCAGGATCATAAACTCCAAAGGCCTCTTCAACATGTGCTTTTACAGTCTCATAGAATATCTGGCTAACACAATAGTGAAAAACATATGAACATCTACCAATGCCTACCAGATGCCTGACAGCTGAAATAACAGGCGTGATTAAACGCACAACAGAACCAGATGTCTCAAACACTACATGAAATCCAATATATTCTATCATGTCTAATAATCTTTATTTAAGGAGGTTTTTTACTTAGCCAAAGAACTAAGTGAATCAATCATATAATTTTCATTAAAAGGAAAACTTACATCATCTTCCCGAAGCAAAGATTCAGGCAAACACCTGCGAGACAAGATAAAATCCAAAACCAAAAACAATTATCAGAATCGTAGTTTTCAAAGTAAAAGCTACACATAACTCATGAGACAGAAAGCGACAAAAAGGAGGGAAAGAAAAAATTCATTTCTCACTTACGCATAATTTAAAAAATTAGGTCTTTTTACTAGCTTATGCCCGGATTCAGAAGTAGGAAGCCCCAGCAACCATCTGCATAGAGTTTTACTTGGTAATTATGCAAAACATAGAGGTAAATAATAAACCCAATGCACAAATCACCACAGGTATCATGACAAAATTAACCAAACAACCGATGCTCTACCTTTAAAGCACAAGTCGATACCTATCATGAGTCTATTCAGAAATAAACGTGTCCGCCAAAAGAGGCGAGCTTTATTTATTTTCTTCTGATTATAATATGCATACATAAAGGAAAAAAAATTCATATACCTGAAAATTACAAACGGAATTGCATATACGAATGATGTATACACACATATATATATATATATATGCAGATGAAAGAAGAGAGTTTAGGGAAGAGACGCACCTTCGTTTGAGTTTAAGCTGCTTCTCTTTATGCTTAATCTGCGAGAGGATGGATTCACAATCTGTCTTGTAAAACACCGATTTCTCCATTGTATGCGGTTTGTAAGCGTGTAATGTCTATACCTAAAACAATATGTTAAACTGGTTACAGATTGACCGAATGAGATATGAAGACACTGCGCGCGAGAGAGAGAGAGAGAGAGAAAGAGAGAGAGTGAGAAACCTGGGGAACTACAGTACCGAAAAACGGAACTTTTCCAACGGTATGGACGATATCCGGGCGTATGGACGGCGGGAGATTTCTACGTTGTCTGCTAATCCCGTCTACAGTAGGGTGAGAGGGAAAAGGAGGAGGAGAAGGGAAGATCAACGTTAACCAGGGCTTCCTTTTGTGATGAAATTACGACTTTACCCTTGCAAGAACACTCCGTCTCCGCCTTAGTTTGTAACTTATAATATTTATTAATACATATATATATATTGGTTTTAATTCAATAATAATTATTTTTGTCCTTTTTATTTTAATTTTTATCTCGCCAATTTAATAATAATTTTTTTTTATAAAACTAATAAAATTCTTTCAAATATTTTGGCAAAAACTTTAAAAATATATAATTTTTATTAACATCAATTATTATTTAAATTTAATTTTCAATTATTATGACTTTTAAAATTCAGACAAAATAAACCTAAAAAAACTTTATAATTTCTAAAATTATAATGTTTTTTATTTTATAAGTTTAAAGAAGAAAATAATAATTCTTGTCTTTTTTCTATAAAAAAAATTTCTATACAGTCAGATTATTTTATTCTTTTACATGATTTTTACACGTGTGAACTGTATAATCCTTTGGATATACATATATATATATATGATGAAAATATTTCATGAATTATTATAGTAAATTTCTGCCATAAATCTTAATCTTATATAAAAAAATAAATTAAATATTTAAGATCAATATAAGAAATTAAATCTACAAGTGAACATAATAAAAATGATATGTTGTAAAATTTAATTCAAAGTTTTATAACATTTTAATTATTCATTTTACAAGATGATTTTGAAATATATATATATATATTTTATAAAATTTTTACAGAGATCAAATAAAATACTCCCATTGAAAATTATAAATTAATTTTTTAAAAAAAAATAATCAAATTTTCTCCTTCCTATTTGTTGGAAAAATTACAATAAACCTGGATTAAAATATATATATAAAATGTAAAATATATATTTTAAAAATATATGCCAAAATATTACAAAGCAAACTAGATATAACCACAAGAATATTATAAACCACCAAATCACAGAAAAAGAGAGAAGAAGAAGAAGAAGAAGCTGCTATACATGGAAGGTTGGTAAAAAAGAAAAATGGAAAAACAAAAAGAAATATACAAGTAAAAGTTTCCCACACCAACAAAGTCAATAACCAAAGTGGCTGCTCAGCTAAAATCACAACTCTCTTCATCATCAGTACAACAATGCACTGAAAGCAAAAAATGAAAAAATGGACATCACCACTTCCAACATACTTTCATGGTACCCTGCACCATAGAAATCAATCACAACATTACACCAAAACCGTACAAGCAGTTACTTACACCACCCACTCCTCCACTCATGACTACAGATATACCTATATTGCATATCAATGTATCAATGACTGGTATACTTTTATTGTTTGTTTAACTATCAACCTATTCTGTTACCTTGTCAAGTTTTTGATAATGAACTCCGTGGAACGAGAATAGAATGGTATTTTGTAATCATACTTCCATTAAAAGAAAAGGGTGCTTAACGTAAATTGCTGATTAAATTTCGATACTATGAGCGGAAGCCTCTATTTTTTTCAAAGTGAGAAAGTCAATATAGATGCGCAACTTACCAGAATTTTTAAGAGTCTGTGATGTTGGCAAGGCAGGCAATGACATCTCTGCAAGGTTACAAAACTAGCCATTAGTGTATAAATGGGAAGTAAAACCAAGTGCCAAACATTCGAAATCTGAAAATCAAATGCTGTTTTGGTCTCGAAGGACTGTGAGGTGGAAAAAATAAAACATCATTCGTTCTCTGTATATTAGTTACCAGGGGCACAAAAAGACAGGGATGAAATTGAGGATGACAAAGGCCATGGTGCACCAATATTATCCGCCAAGTCACAGGTAAAACTATATCCTGTTGAATTATCAAATATTACATCCACGGGGTAGCTCCGAAGTAGACACCCTACATTTGTATAAACAGAAAGTATGTCAAATAACTGACGTTTCAATAAGTTTATCAAATAGTTCTCACTAACATATGAATAAACAAAACATATCTTAAAATGCAAAGGGCAGAATAAGTTAACCATCGATTAATTTTTTGAAAGATATACAGATATATAAATATAAATAAAGAAAAACGAGAAAAATACATGCATAGTTAACCATCGAGCTTGTGGCAATAAATGTTCGAGTGAATCATATCTTAAAATGCATATTTATCAAACAGAATAAGTTGTGGAACTAACCTTCTTGTCCATAGGCTTCTCCAGATGCAAAATAAATCCATGGCACAGCAGGAAAATAAAAAATCAGATAAGCTTTGAAGGATTACTTCAAAAATAAAAAGGAATGAGAAAAACACTGTATGTTATAACATATACCTTGGATGCTAAAATCTTTCAAGTCAATGTCACAAAGATCGTAAATATTTGTCATGACACCCCCCTTTCTTAACATGGTTCCAAAAACAGTTGCACAGATTATGGCTTGTTTGTTTGTGATTAACATTTGCTTTTGTATCCCAGCAATATAGGCATTTAAAGAACTACAGCATGAAGGATTAGGTGCGGCTGCATTGTGGCATGCTTCGATAACTTCAGAGGGCTCCTTAAAATCCAAAGGGCAGACTGCAACCAGAAAAGTTAATTCAATGTAAGAACTTTTTAGGAAAACAATAGTGCAGTTCATAAATATCTCACACAAATCAATAAAGTAATGAGATATAGATCTTTTTTTTGAAATAAAGTAATGAGATAATAGATGAAAAGCCAAAAAGTACAATGTTTGTCCGAGAGAGAGAGAGAGATAGAGAGGAAAATGTGATCCTGATGATTATGAGAAGGATGATAATGACAAATAATGAGTGTTCAAATAGCCATGATCTTTGAATCTTGCCTAAGTAGACTTGAACTAAATGATTATTGAAGGTCCATAATCTCAGTTGTACATAAACTGTCAATGCTTATCTAAAGTTTTGGTAGATAGTGTTGAAGACTACTGTTCGGATATTTGATAAGGCATATACAATTTTTTGAGCTCCACTATATTTTACTACCCGTCACCATCTGTTGAATCACAGAAGTGATAGCAAGGATATTATTTAACATGAAACCAAAATCATTTTGCTTTATTCTACTGCTTTTACTATCACAAGAATTAAAAAGTTTCTATTTCAACTTCCTTATAAGTACTAAGGTATAGAAATTTCCTAATACAAGGAAGATTTGCAAGGGTAATATATGTTATAACTGTTTTATCCATTAATAGAATCATTCCATGACCATATGATTATCTGCAGCATAAAACAAGTTCTACAGGATGAGAAAGTCCACACATAGCAGTACAGTTTCAACAATCAGTCAGGAAAATAGACAATATGATGCTCAGACAAACATGTAGTACGGATGACTGCCATACCCTTGTTCACTTTGCAGGAAGATAATATTCGGAAAGCAGTATTGGCAGCATCTGCTGAGAGTTTCTTAGAAAGATATGAATACACCACCCCCTTGCAATCAGTAATAGTGTCAATATGATTAGGCTCCCCCACTACATTTTTATTTTCATTCATGGTCAACTGTGTCCCTGAGATCTGAAGAGCAGCTTCCATAATGGCAGGTTGGCAAATTGGTCTACAACACTCTTTAAGCAGATCAATTGTGCCACAGGCATCCAATAATTTGCTTGTGTTAACAATCTTCTCAAAGGCACTGACATTTTTTACAGGACAAGAACCTCCTGTTAGATTTGATGGTTTTACAGAACAAAGTGTGGATATTGTTGTGTTGGCACCTTTGCTCACTAAAATACTAACAATATCTGAAAAACAATCATTAGCAGCTGCATTTTGCAAAACCAAGAAATCAGAGTTGATGCCATGGAAACCCTGGAAGATGTGGAGTAAACTACCAAGCTGTGGACAACATATTACATTTCCTACAAGTGGTGCCAAAGGCTGAGAACAATCAGATGCTGTTTTGCCCATGATACTCGATATAGCGGAGAAATTTACAGGGCATTTCCCAGTTAAATTGGGTTCGTACGTAGTGGGAAAAGTAGGGTACATAGGAGGCAAAGGTTCACTCGGAAATGGGTTGTGTGGAATGACAGCAGGAGATATTTCAATAGGATCAAAAAGTCCAGTACCGGGTGGATTGGCCAACTCAGAAATGGAGGTTACGTGACTAGGCTTGGGCAACATCTGTGATGCGACTACATATTGAAATCGTGATAACCAGATAATGAAAAATAAGAGCTGCTGGCAAAATAAACCTGTAAGTAGATAGAAGACATCCATCAGTGTCCACATACAAAGTGTTCCAGAAGTAATACTACATGACAGGCAAAACATGAAGTACATAATACAAAATTTCCGATGGTGACTGTTGGGAGATACTAGATAGAAGTAGAAATCATGATAACTCAATGTAAGCAGCATAAGCATCATATGATAATAGAAAGAAAAATACAAGAAGATAACTAAATTACCAACAAGCTTGGGCACAATCAAGCAATTTAGTAAACTTCATGCGACCTAGGGCAGGATAACAGTCCAATCTAACATCAAATTTAAGATATTGTTTCTAAAACCAACTAAATTAGATTCCATTGGCTTATCTGAAAAAAAAAATTATATTCCATTGGCTTAAATAGAAGTTCTTCACCTTTCATGTAGTTACTGAGATTCAAGGGTTCTAATCATTAAAGGACAAATATGTCAATATACAAGTTTGACTATAAAAATTTGGTCCTAGTGATGCAGAACAAGAAGATATCATTCTGGAACAAATTTTTTAATTAAAGAAGTCTTTTGCTAACTATTATTGTTTTCTGTTTTTAAGTAACTTTGGTCATTAAACTTTATTTATGTATTAAAATATTTTAGTTTTCTATTTAGGTAATTTTAAGTATTCTGTCAAAAACAGGTAATCTTAAGTATTAAAGACATTGCTAAAATGAGTATTTTAGTTTGCAATAACTACTTGTACTGAATGAACTAGTCTCTTGAATTGGATCAACAGGGACTGGGATCAAGTGTTTGATCTTGTGCCTTTCAGGGCAAAAAATGGGCAGGGATCAGTTTTTCACATGACAGTCCATGTGGGCCAACTTCGTAGAAAGAAAAATTCACTAGACTTTTTGAATTGCTAAAGACAGAGATGCTTCAGTTAGAGACTTATTGACATTCAATGACTCTTCCACTCCCAAGTGGAATATTTCCTTGTCCAGCAACCTAAATGATTGGGAGATTGCAACCTTAGCAACCTTATTGTTTCAATTAGGATGTGTTAGATAAGACTCTTTGATTTATTACAAAGTATGGAGCCTTTTCTGTCCATTCTTTCTACTGGAACTTCCTCAGTCAGATGGAAGTTGCTTTCGGATTTCCTTGAAACAAATCTAGAAGAAGAAAGCCTTGCAACGCATTGCCTTCTTCAGTTGGAAAGTCGCATGGGGCATAATCCTCAACTTTGACAATTTGAGCAAGCATGGCAGAATCTTAGTCAATGGATGTCTATTGTGCCTTCAAGAGAATGATCTGCTAATCTGTCTTTGGTGCCATGGGGCCAGGAAATTATGGGATTCCGTTCTTTGTCTTCTCAATGTGTCCTGGATTGTATGCAGTTTGGTGGCGAAGGAATGAAGGCTTGGGACAGCATTGCTGCCAAAAAACAGAAGAAGATCCCCATCTCCCTTGTTCTGTTGGACTTTCTCATGGATGATTTGGAACAAAAGGAAGAACACAGTTTTTAAAGACACTGCTTTTCCTTTTAGTAGTTTTATATCTTGAGTTTTTTGGTCACTCCATCCCGTCAAGCGAGAATCTTATAGCCTATATTGATAATTTGTGTTCCTCTAATGAGTTTTATTTGTTTTGTATAGGGCTTGTAACGCATATCTTTTTTTTTTTTCCTCCAAAGAAAAAAAGTTTAACCATAAACAGCCCAGTTGACAAATCTCAGTATATGCTGAACTGCCACAAATGGAAAAAGGTGGATCACTATTGTCCAATTGAAGAATAAGGATGATAATAGAGTTTAGAACAGCTAATTGATAGCCAAACTAGTTGCATATGTAAATTTGACAGTTCGAAAAAAAAAAAAAGAGAAAGACGCGGAGGAAGTTAAACATCAACGTCATAACAGCTAAATACTAATAAACTAGATATGAGACTACAGCATATTATAAGCAGTTTCAGTAGATCAATGAGTATTTTAACAAGAAAATTGGAAGACAAAGAGGTTTAACAAGATCATATTCCTTCTGCTCCAAAAAGACTTTGTTTAAAATGAAAAATACTGCTTGATGGGGTATAAATAGCTTACCCTTAAGCCGACTGATGGTCTGAAAACAGTCCATGGCTACACTAGCCCTCTGGCACCATTGAGTTTCATGAAAGAGAAACTTGTGACGGTAGATTATGTACCTTCAAAGTCTTCAAAGCAATAAACCAATTCCTGTTCATGTTCAAGAAGAGAAATCATTGAGTTGCAGGGAAACAAGCATATAACAAAAGCAACTAGTTGAGCTTGCCAAAAAAAAATTGGTCAGAAATATTACTGGTAAGAAATGCATTTTCTTTTCCTTTTTTTTTTCCCCCTTTTCAAAGATCTGCTGAAAGAGGCTAACAAAAAAGGAAGCAAATTATAAATGATTACTATTTTACCAACCTGTGCTGCCTCTGGCAGATAACTCAAAGCAGACTAGTCAAAAGGGAGTTCAGGTGTTATTGAGTAGGAGTTCAACAGACTCAAGTGTGAAAATATTCTTGGAGCATTCTAATTAAAGCAGACAAGTCCATGCAAACCAATGCATAGCCAAAAGCTAGAGTTTCACTTCAACCCTCATCAAATAAATTTGAAAACATATGCTCAATAAATAAAATGATAAAGCCCAGCAGAATTATAATCAAATTTTGCTTAAACAAAAGACCTTCTCTACATCTTACCTAAACAAAGATTATTTTGTATAATATGAATAGCATGTACATGGTCAATAATTAACATGAAAGAAAGAAACTTTGCATTTAGCTTACACGAGAGATCTGTCCTACATCTGCTATCTAACAAGACTTTGTTGTGTATGATATGAAAGTTGATTTAGGATCAACAATTAACACATAAGAAAGAGGCTTTACATTTGCAAGTAAAAACTACAGTTATGTTTCCTGTTAACAACATCTTTATCTTGTGTGCCCGATTGGTATTTGTGAAAATTTCAGTCAGTTTGGTTGGAAAAAGTATAAACGAAAGTAAAATCAGAATTTACTAAGCTGAATAACTGGTTAAACTCAATCAACTACAACTTTTTTTTTTTTATTTGCAGACTCAGCTTTTCATTGCTTTCCCTCTCTTGCACACAAACTGTATCATAACTATAGAGCTAAACTTACCCAAATAATCACGTTGGGATCAAAAGGCTTTCCCATCTAATAAATAATCAACAACAGAATTTTCACCTTATCTATTTTCTCTCAATTTCTCAGCTGTTAAACCCAAGTCAACAAGATTAAACTAAGTCAAGGAAGTGAGGTTTCTACTGTAACCCAAAAGTCCATTTCCCATAGTTTTTCCTAAGCTTCATATGAAGGAAGCTCAAGGAAGCAAAAATTTCCTAAACACATAAAAATTATAGCATTTAAACTGTAATCCTCCTTTACCCTTCAAAGATACCCGAGCGAACCAAGATTTCGGGGGAAAAAACCAAGGATGAAAAAATTAAAGTGCCAAAACCCCCTTCTCTTATCTGTCATTTTCTCGGGTACCCAACACCACAACCCGGACTAACCAATGATATCTTCCTATAATTAGAAGAAAAAATAGACTCAGAGCTTCAAACTTTTTCCTTCCCACTATTTTCTCAGCTATCAAAAGCCAAAAAGGAAACTCATTGATGTAGCTTTTCCAGAAAAAATAAGAAAAAAAAAAAATCATAAATGTAACACCGAAGCTCCATGCTTTCTTTCCACTTTCCGCACTTCCCCAGCTACCAAACAAAGATAGATAAGAAACGGAACCCAACAAAAAAAGAAATACGTACCTGAAGAAGTTGAAACCTCGAAATATTGATGAGAAGAAACTTATAACAATTAAACCACTTCTCGGGTCGATCCGGGTTGGCAAAATGGGATTACTTGCCGAAGAAACCCTAGAATGAGAGCTTTCAGTTAGCTCTCTCTCTCTCTCTCTCTCTCTCTCTCTCTCTCTCTCTCTCTCTCTCCCCCTCCTCTCTCTACCTCAGAGCTGAGCAAAGAGACTCTGGTGATTGTAACTGAGGAGGTGGATAAAATAGAGTAGCCCAACTTTACCTATTTATTGACCCGACCCGGAACGACTAATGATGGTTCTTGTCTCCTTCTTCATGACCCGAGTCAGTATAATCATAATTAATTAATTAATTAATCAATCAATTAACTTAATTAAATTATTGTTGGTAAGGCCCATTTTCATGTGCAATGGCCTATAAAAGGCTAAATCTCCTTTTTATAAAATTTTTAAGGTAAGATATTATGATTAATTATGATGATTTATTTATTTATTTTGTTTATTGACTTAATTCAAATAATTTTCCAACTTTTTATTAGTTGAAATTGGTATTTAAAAAAGGTAAAAATTATTAATAATGCAAAAAGGTAAAATTAAAAAAAGTTTTAAAAAACTAAACACATTCTCTCTCTCTCTCTCTCTAAGATCTTTTTTTTTTTTTAGAAATAAAAAGCCAATTATTAGTAATTAAATTGTTACAAAATTAGAAATCTACATTTATGTTATAATAATTTAAGTCAACTAAGAAAAATATATATTGCCCACATATATAATATACCTATATATATGTACATATATATATATGTATATATATAAAGAGAGAAGATTGGAAAATTTACATTGTGTGATAAAAGCAAGAGCCAATTTTTTAAGTATTAGGTAAGATAATTGAGATGTTTTTTTTTTTTTTTTTTACTAACTAATAGTTGGTGGAGTATTATGAAGTAAATTAGAATGATAAAATAGGTTAAACTTAAAACTAAATTATAGCATATTTTAATTTAAAATATTTTTTTGTTGGTATTGTCATAAAGAAATTTGTATTACACCATAATTAAATTTTTTTTAATAATTTTATAAATAAAATTACTCAGTCACCTGTTACTTAATTTATTTATACGTTTTTTTTTTTATATAAAAAATTATAAGTTGTAATTAAATTATGTGTATTTTTTTTATTTAAAATATTGTATTAAATTTTTATTTGATTGCATTAATTATGGATTGAAATGAAAAAGTGAGAAAAAGAAAAAGTAAGAAGAAGAAGAAGAAGAAGAAGAAGAAGAAGTTTGACAATGGGATGCACCTACAAGATGTCAAAACCTTGTACCTAATTGCAACACTTTTTCTTTGCTTTATGCTCTCTCCCATAATTCTTTGTTCATGTTGTTTGTCTCCATTATCACAATTTTGGTATTTAAAAAAAAAAAATAGTTTAAAATATTTAATTTAATATTTATTAATATATTTGGATGTGTGACATTTTTGACAATAAGCAAAGTATCAAAAGCATTTTAGTTTTTTTTTTTTTTTTTTTTTAAAAAAGTTATAATTTTTTAATAATTATTAATATTTTATAAGGTACTATAAACACCATAATTTTATTTTTTTTTGTAAATTTTTGAACTAATTTAATATTAATTTAATTAATTTTTTTTTATAATGTATATACAATTTTTCTTTTTAGTGACAGTTTTGAGTGTTTTATTTGGATACCTCCTAATAAGTGTTTATACCAAGTGAATTAATTTTATTGCCAATAGACTTTGTCCAAAATGTAGCTACCAAGATCCACCATGAATGTGCAGAAGTGAGTTAATACTGAAAAAGCTTGATTTCAAGCAATATATATATGCATATATATATACATGCGTATATAACTGGTTATGATATAATAGTCAAGCAAAATCGACTGTGATTAGCCTCACTAATTATTACACTAGATTGCACATGAATTTAAGTAAAATTTTAATAGAAAACAAGTTGATGTAAAATCAAATTTGAAGTGTAATCATGGTGACTTGATTTAAAATTAACCAAGATTGCTGCTACTGTAAAGAGTACAACATTTTCCTTTAGAAAAATCTTGATCTAAATAATGTTTTCTTCCGAGTGGACAAAACAAACTTCTACAAAATTTTAGTAACACCCAAAATGTGGAACTTCTTTACACTCACAGGATCTGTTACCTAATTATGCAAAATGCTAACTCATAATATCAAAAAATTTCAATGGCATCCCCCACCTGAGCTGACTCTGAGATCCACATGTTCAACCCAGAACGATTACAAGTTTGAGATCTGAAGGTGATAATAGATAAATGGTAGTTGCCAGACAGCCGGGGAAGGGGCCATTTGCGAGAGAGAAAAAAGGTGATTCAGGCAGAAAAACTTCCAGGACTCAGAAGTTTATGTGCGGTGTTTAGAAACTACCGAGCAACGCCTTCGAAATGCAGTGAAGGTGAAAGAAAATCGGGTGTATTTGAGAGAGATTGCTCTTTGAGAGCAAGATTAGACTTCATGTAGCTCGTGATCCTGCTAGGAAACATCATGTCTCCGAATCTTCTTCTTTAGTTTATCTTGCTCTCTATATCTTTCTCTCCGCTCTTCTCTCTTGCGTTTCTTAGACAACTGCTCATCCTTGGCTCTCTCCGCTTCAAGTTTCTTCCTCTTCTCCTCCTCCTTGAGTTTCCGTTTTTTCATCTGCAAAATCACAGTCGAAAGCACCAATATAAAACACAGATAGGAAATAAGAAATTGCAATGACAGTTTCTCAATTCGCCTGGTACTAGTTCGTCCCTCTTTGGTCAATGGATATTAGTTTTAACTATCACTTATTTAAGTCTCGTAAACCACTTGATCTAGCACTGGAAAAAAGCTTAGGCAGCTACATAATCCAAAGTGCAGATAATGTCGGTGAAGAAAAGCAAGCATACAACATATCAGAACAACCTTACAGAAGCATGAATCATAGGGAAGAATTAGTAAACCACATAAAAATAGTTTCGCAACTCGTTTAAAATATACATTTGATGACAAGACTACACCTGAAAAACAAAAACAAATAATGGAAGTTATGTAAGATTTTATTTTCATTATTGAAGATGCAGTTCACAAAGTTCTAAGAGATTTTATTTTTATACCTGAAAACACAATGCATATCCTAACTAAATTTTCAATTTCAAATTTTTAGACTCTTTCATTTGATTTATTCCTATAATCATCTACTTGTAAAAATGATATTCCATGTGCCAAATCTGTTTCTCATTCCAGAACTCTCACCCTCGGGATTATTTAAGGAACTTAAAATGATTTCAATGTCTAAACTGCTAAAAAGGTTTGCTTGAACATGGGATAATGGGAAATATGTTTCACAAGAATATTGCAGCATATGTGAAATTGATATGATCTTGATGATAGTGAAAAATTAGTTAAATTTTATGATCATTCTTTCACCCATGATACTTTTTACTCTTTATTTAAAAAGAAAAAAGATGATTCTTTCACCTGCAGTTGAACAATGTGAAAAATTCATTAATTTATCATCTAAAAGTATTTAGTCCAGTGGTGATATCCGATTGTATGACAGCACCAGACATTTTACAGTTGTTCATTGGATTTGAAATGTTTATACAAATAAATTGACCAGCATGGACTTTACAAATCTTCAATAGATTTCCACTGTCAGTTCTTGTGGTAGGTTATCAATAAGTTCAAACGAAAAAGTATGAAGAATATGTTCTTAGAGTGAATACCTTCTCATTTTTTATCAGCTGAAGATGCTGAACAAGAGCATGAACTCTTCGCTCAGAAGGTTCCATGACAACAGCCCTTCTTTTTTCAAGAGACGGCCGTTTCTGACTGGGAATATTCTTGGGTTTCGATGCAAATGGGAGAGCTTCTTGTAATGACTTTGGAATGACGAGCGGGTTGAACTTCCTTGGCCTCCTTTCAATGGCCTGATATAGATATAACAAACAATTAATAAATGACAAGACAGGAGAGGTGATCAACAATTGTACCAATTGGAACAGAGGAAGAGAGTATGGGCCAAACAATCTCCTGTTTTGCATCAGAAATTACCTTGTAGAGCGAATCCTTGTTGACTGGAACAGGAAGATTATGCTCTCTCCTCAGTTCGGCAACAGTTTTCATTCCCTGCCAGGTCTTATCACGAGATTGCAAAGCTGTGGTCAGTGGGTTGTAAAATCGTGGAACTTCTACTGAAGTCCACGCACGCAAGAAAACAATGTCACTCATCAGAATCCTGTCTTCAAAAGTACATCTGGCAATCCCTTCACCAAGTGGCCCTCCCTTCTTATTTGGCTGGTTGCCAATCTCTTCCTTTGCAGCCTGCCAATGGAACAAAAAAAAAACCATGTAGAAATCCAACAGCCTTTTGGTTGTAAATGAGTGTATACACCAGCCAGAATTATATCTTCATGATGATTTATGATAAAGAGTACATTTAAAATTACTTTAAACCACTCTATGAAAATATTTACCAGATAAAGTACAGTATATACTATTTCGAAAAAAAAAAAAAAAAAACACAGTAGATAATAACAAGCAAATCAAACTACTACCCTTCAAGAAACTTGTAAAGTCCACAAGCATACCTTTTTCACCTGTCCACGGATCCCACTGACAGTCCTAATTGATGCACCTTCAAAACGAGCTACTTCAAGATCTGAAGTAAACATGTGCTTGATAAGTGCCGTCTTTTTAAAGATCTTGCAGGGGTAACCTGTCAACTTGACTTTCTTCGCTATTTTTGTCGCATGGTTGAACTCAAGTACAACAGCAGTAGCTGTAATGCGAAATGATGCCTGGTGCACCAAAAGAAACCTGATCAGTGAAGAGGGAAAAAATCCAGAAAAACAAAAGAACTTAAGAAATGAGTCATGAGAAGGAATAAACAAATCTTTTACATAAATGAAGATTATAGGACTGTTTTAACGAAGATTATAGGACTGTTTAATGCTAGAATACAACAAAATACACCATGTCAAATTTTATGGGCGCAGATGAGAACAGAAATTAAGGAATTCTAGAGACGGGGTTGAGAAGTTGAGTTCTTGATGGGAAAAGTGAGAATTTTCAGGAATATTTGGGGGGTTCAGAGACCCTATGGGTGGTGCTTATAATTTGGTCGGCAAATTGTCAGCCAATGAAAAGTTTGTCTGGTGGTAACTAGTCATCTCTTTCAGAAGATACATTCAACATTTGATGAAAATTAGCCCGTGATATTTCTGATTAATTTAAATATGGTCAGTAAG